TGTTTTTTTGTGTTGTTTTTTTTTAACTCTCCCTCTTCAGAAATGTATCAGAGAGCTTTATTAGTGTAAAGCAGGTTTTCTGTTTGGTCAACACAAGCAAGCACTGTCATTAACATTTTCGAAGCAGAGATTTGTAGGGAAAGAAAAAAAAATAAAAATCACTATCTCCTATTTTGAGTACTTAAAGAGTACAGAGAGCCAACAACAAAATTCAAGTGATACTTTTTTTCACCTAAGATCAAATTTCTTCTAAATTAAACAATTAACAACGCTGGAATAAATTAATATCTGAAAAGGATTTCCCTGTATTCTGGGGAAACAAAATGTACAGAGAGGGAATCAGAAGACAATTTTCTTAGTGTTTAAAAAAAAATAAAAAATTGTACATGTATTTACCCTGGAAATCTTCTCTCAATTCTCTTAAGAGGCTTTGAAAAACTGCAGCTGCAAAATAAGTTTATTTAGTTTTTAAAGTTTATTTAGTTTTTAACCTTTATTTCTCTACTAAACGTAAACCAGGTCTCTATTTTGAATTCCTCTACCTGCCTGTTCATCATCATCATCATCATCTGACTGCTGTTCCAAGTTTTGGGAATTACTATACTCATACTCAATGGGCTTTGGATTGTTGTAAGGGTACCCATTGTCATCAAAAAACCTCCGGAAGGTGAACTCATAAAAAGCATGTTCAGGATGTTTTCCATTTTTGTACCACCCATTAAGTGTATCATTTCTGTTCCCTTCCTTATCATCATCACTCCACAATTTATCTGGATCAACAGGATCAAAGTTTGACGTGTCTGTAGGATGAGCAATTTTGGGAATGTAGAAAGCAGACTGCCGCCGCAGGTCGCTTGAAAAATCAATTGTTTTAAAAAATGGATGAGCTTTTATTTCATCTGCACCGTTTTTGCCTAAACGATCTTCTGGCCCTCGGCAGAGTTTGATAATAAGGTCAGAGGCCTCTGGAGTCAGTTTAGCTTGAGGTGGAATATGAAGTGCAGTTTGCCAGTTGATAACCTTTAAAGCAAAAAGAGGTGTTACTCTACTTACAACTTCAAGAAAAGAAACCACCACAGAACAAACAGCCACAAAGCAATCAGTTAATACATTTAAGTGTTTTCATGCTAGAGAGGGGAAAATAGGATGCTGCTCTTTCAGAAACATAAGGAATGTTTTGTCTGGAAATCTGGCAAAATCCAGGTTTATTCACATTCCAAATTTAAACTACAGTTTGGCAAGGAATACCCTTGCTACAAACCAAGATAGATACTATAAATTCCAGCACCCAGAACCAGAGATTAGGCACGTGCCTTACAATCTTAAAAATAAGGTGAGGCCTACAAATGTCAATTTATCTGATGCACTGGAAAGATGAACCTATTTGAAGTTAAAACAAACAAATAAATAAATAAATCGATCAATCAATCAACACTACATTTGAGCCAACTAGTGTCTTGCAAGTTGAATGCAGTTTTGCAAAAAATCCTCTGCGAGTGGGCACGGAAGCCACGTGGTGGGAAAAGAACACCCAGATTCTGGAAGAGGATAAGAAAAGAAAGTGCAAGATGTGAAAGAGAACAGCTGAGAGCTGAAATGTGATTTTTAGTTGACATGATTCTGTATGACCATATAAAAGATATGTACATGTTCCATGAAGTCTCTTTACAAATTAGGTGCACCACCACAGCAACATAAAGTTTAAAATCTTGCTAGTTTATAACATGCTTAGATAGAGCGGCACTCTCAAAAAACACCTCTGATTCCATTACAAAATAAAAAGACTATGTACATTTCAAGCCTGCTTTTGAAGACTGCTATTACCAGACTTTTAAAGTTACCTTCATTTGTGTTTCCAGTGGTGTTTGTGCCAGGAATGGGGGCTGCCCCACTAACATTTCAAAGAGAATCACTCCAACACTCCACCAGTCACACAGCTGCGTGTAACCTGAAATAAAGTAAAAACAAAGTAGGCAAAGCCTTATTATAATTTTAATCTTGTATTTCTAAGCACAAAGAAGGCTTACAAGATAATTCTATTCAATACTTGCTTAAGATTTCCATATTAACAGCTGTTGGGTCTTTTTTGTGGTCAAAATATTACATACTTGGGAAAAGCAGCAGCATAAGAAAGGTGAAACAAACTACCTGCGTATCAGTGACTCTGCAGCGAGGTCACGGTACCAAAGTGCATTATTACCTGTTCGTAACAACACTTCAGGTGCAATGTAGTTGGGAGTGCCAACCAGGGAGTGGGCCAGGCAGCGCTGATGCTGCCGCGCCGCCCTGCGCTCCAGCGGCTTCAGCCGGTCTCCACACCTGCAGTTTGCTGGGTCTCCCCACTCGCTGCTGAAATCCATGCTGTCCTGCCGCACGTGATCACCTGCAGTGAGACAGATGTGATAACACTGAGGAAGATGACTTCAGTTCTTAACTAGTACAATGTTTTCTTTATCTGTTAACCCTTCTTGTTCTTAGACAGAATGTTTGAACTTCAACGCACGGTTTGAAAGCTAAAAAGCGAATCAACTTTTTGTTTATGATACAAAATACAACTTTTAAGGACATGATTTCTATGACTTAATTTTTTACATAATTATGAGAAAGTATCAAGTTTGACCTTACCTCAATTTTTCCTGAATAAAAGCACATGGGGGGGTATAGGGTGTATACCTCTTATGTAAAGACAAAAACCCAATACTTAAACCATCAAAAAATAAAGTAAGATTTAAAATCTTCAACTTCTCTCCAGAAACTCTGTAACAGCCTGGCCTAATATAAATGATATTGTGACAAAAAAAGTCAGAGATAATTTAAAAATTGTTTCTGAAGGTACAATTTCATTTTTTAAAACAAAAAATAAGTTATTACAAAATCTGTATTTTATCACAGAACTGTGAAAAATTTTTTGTTCTAACTTTTTTTAGTTGATTTTAAGTAATCAAGTAGAACTGTTAAAAGCATAGCTCATTCCTTCTATCTTCAGGAATCAATGCTGACACTTAAAAACTCTCCCTAACTAAATGTTGCTTTCTGTAATTTGAGTGGTGTGCAAACATATTATTATTCAGAAACCAAACAGCACAAGCATCTTTCTACTAATTTAATTCCTTGCAAAGAACGACAAGAAATAACAAATATTTTACATGTCTCTTACCACTCTGGTAGTATTTTGAATCATGGGTCCATCGAAAACCTGTACAGAGCCCGAAGTCAGTCAATTTAATATGACCATCGCGGTCTATCAAGATATTATCAGGTTTAATATCCCTGTGGATGAAGCCCATTTTATGAACACTTTCAACTGCGCAGGTCAGTTCTGCTGTGTAGAACCGTGCCAGATTTTCTGGAAAGACACCCATTCTAATTAGGAGACTCATCATATCACCTCCTGGAATGTAGTCCATTACAAAGTACAAATTGTCCTTATCTTGGAATGAATAGTACAGGCGAACCACCCATTCGTTATCAGCTTCTGCAAGGATATCCCGCTCAGCTTTAACATGAGCAACTTGATTTCTAAGCAATACATCTTTTTTCCTCAGAGTTTTTGTTGCATATAAAGCATTAGTATCCACTTTTCTTGCTAGGCAAACTTCTCCAAATGCACCAACTCCTAGGGTTTTTATTTTTACAAACATTGACTTGTCCATTTTAGCTCTTCTTAGCCGAATATAATTTGACTCTTTCTGACACAACATTTTCCTCATTTGATCTCTGGCTTCTGGTGACAGTCCAACCTGTGTAGCAAACAGAATTAAATCTGAAGAATGAACAGTACTCTTAATTCTTGGTGATCTTCTTATAAGACTTAGGCAAAGCAAACAAAATACTTATATACAGCATGGGAAATAGTACTTTAAGTGAGATTGCTGGTTTGTATTTTTTAATGTACATGTTTCTTTACAGTTAAAAAAATTATTTAAACATGAAAACATATAGGAGTGATACAAAACAAAATGTGATCACTTTCAAAAGCAGAATGCATGAGTTGCCATGCACCAGGTTTTTGAGGAGGGAGTATGTTCTCAAGGAAAGGGTAATTTACAAAAACCACTGCAAGTAATGCTCATCTGAGTAACAATGTGCATCAGCTACCTCCTTGATTGTCGTTGCAGTGCTAAAGGAAGCCAAGACATGCCAAGGAACAATAGATCACTGAGGGCTAAGGAGCTGCAGTGGGAAATGCTTCCACTTTCTAGACTAGCTAGATCAGAGGTCACTAAACTTCCTGACCATGACAGTAGAATTTCAGCTGCAGGAGGAAGCATGTGACTCACACTATTTGCTTCCCTGTCTATCTACACAAACCAGATCCACATGGCACTGTTTCCTACTGTCCACCCACACCAAGCATGTGCCTCTGCCACAAGCCAAGACCTAATCTTCCTTCTTACCACATAAGCCACGTCCTTCTAACAGAACTCCAGTCTCATTCTACCACTCCCTACATACCAACAAGTGGAACAGAACAATTTCTTTGAAGTGGCTCACTCCTTCACATAGTATCAGTTCTTTGCTCCCACGTGTGTACATATCCCTATCTTGAATGAACACCCCTGGTGGTCTGGCCAACACCATTAACATTCTAACAGCTGAAACATTCGCAGGCCATAAGCAACTCATCATCTGCAGCATGGAAACATTTATCTAGAAGAACCCCACTAAGAATTCTCCTTGTATTCTAACCTGGGTTCCTTCCTGTGTATTTCTACTAGCTTCAATTCCTTTAAAGTGCCACTCAATTCCAGTGCCATTTTCTTTTGCTAATTTCAGATCCTAGAATCAAAAAATCCATTATTTTTCATTTTAATGTAAGCAGAATCTTCCTTCAATTCTCTATATTCATTCTCTGTGACATTACTCCCATATAGATTTATGTTCATTCCTTCATTTTCTGTCTGCATTTTCAAAATTTTGTATGTTCCTTTTTCATAGCATCTCAATTATTTTTATCTGCCTATATGGCTTGAAATCACCATCTTGCAGCAATGATTTCCAAGTTCAAACTACATCATATTTCCTTATATTTTTCCTGGACATTCTGATCATAAAATTGAACATGGTCTAACCGAATCCCTGTAACATCACAACTGTAACTCAAGCACTATTCTACAAGTTTTGAATTTCTTACTGTCACAACTTAATGATTCCTGATACCAAATCTTGCTGTTTCCATCTCCTTAATGTTTCAATTCCTTAAGATACTATCTGTATACAATACTCAGGACCATCATGAGGATTAGGGAACCACTAGTGTAGGCCTATCTATATAAACTGCCTGTTAATAAATGATGTCTACTTTGACTAGCTTACAACATAACTTGCAGCAAAATATAATGTGAAAAAAAAATTAACTAAAAGATCAATTTGACACCATATAGTATCTTAAAAATACTTTCAGGATACTATATGTTACCTATTAAAGAAAATACTGTTAGAAGACAGAAGATTTCTTACAGGCATCATAACAAAAATCAATCCAAAGGAGATGCAATTAGGAATATGCATACAAATATGCTTGTCAACCCCAACAAACTTCACAAGTAATATCAATTCAGTAAGATGTAAATGGGGAAGGCTTAAGACAGCATTTTTTTTCTGATATCAGACAGGCAGTAGTTAGGGCTGGGTAGCAGTAGTTCCAAGAAAGTATGTGGGACATGGGTTCAATGCCCTACTCTGCATGAAGACATTGTCTTTCTCAACGTATTACTTTAGGGTTTTTGAAGACTTTCAAATATCAAGATGACATCTGAAGACCTGGCCCTGTTAAAGTTCAGACAATGGTGGGTCACCTTCTTAAGTCCCATCTGAACCATCAAGTCTGCTTCAGTACAGCCTCACTTGCACACAAACTGAACCCCACTGATTAGTTAGAAAACTGGCAAATCTAGATGGCAACAACATGCTAGAAGGAGTGAGGTCTAATACAGTAACTAACCACTGCAAGAGTCTCCAAAACTTTGTAGCTTTACCTTGTAGTACTTCCACTCTAGCTGCTGCATCCTAACAATTTTGTTGTAAAAAAAATACCTAAAGTACCCCAATGCATCACCCCTTTCCCCAACTCATCTTCACTTTTCCCTATGCCATCCACTACAACAAACATTGATCACAAACTGACCACTCTCCACGTTGCTTTATTTTCCCTAGAACTCTCCTTGGCTACAGCATTTACCAAAAATTAACCAGCTTTGTCAGATGCACAAACATTCATGCACATGCATCTCCAATTAGTTCTAGCCAATGCCAGACATGAGAGCTTCCTGAATTGCTGTGTGATATCACACAGTTCACTCTTGTTTTGCTCCCTTCTCACCTTAAATGATCACTTAAGCTTCTTTTTACGCAAAGACATCTAGCATAACTCTTGGCCAAATTCACACATCTAAATGGAGTATTTTTCAGCCAGCTCCACTCTATTCCCTAGGAAACCTGACAGCATAGAAATATGTAAACTATGGTAGAAACACAGTATCCTGTGAAAGTAGGTATTTCTGTAGGGATGCATTCTGGTTTTCCTTTCAAAATTCCTACCAAAGCAGAGAAAAAAGGGATTTGATACTTATTTAACCCTCTTAAACTTTCTGAAAATAAGTAATGAGCTAGATTGTCTTTCTCCTTCTCATAAAGACCTAAAATATACTTCACTAATGTGGGATTCCTCTATACCCTTCTATACCCTGATGAAAAAAGGAGACTACTGTTGCAGCATAATACCCTATTTTCTACTCTTCAGCCTCTAACTAAACATCCCAGCTCTAAATCTAGTATAAATACTATACATTACACTTCAAAAAAAGAAACAAATTTACAAAGGTGTTTGAAACGCACAAGAAAAATATAAATGAAAGTTATACCAGTGTTTTCATATAAGCAATAGTTATGCTTACTATGCAACACAACACAGTAAGAAGGGAAAGTGAAGTTTGCAAGTCAACATTAAAATCTTACATTTAAGTGCTCAAAAATAGTCAAAATAAATTCATGCTTAATTTTGATGCAGGATCACATGCAAAGCCCTCTAAAAAGGGATCATGCTATTCTTAATAAATACTGTTGCTCCAAAATCTTACTTGTCTACACAGGGATGGAGGCTACAGAGTTCAGGAAAGCTTCCCACACCTTAACAGTTTAAATCAGCTGTTAGTGGAAGTGAAAAGGAAAGAGAGAAGACTAAGAATAAAGATCTAGAAAGAGCTTGAGGAAGAAATCTTGCTAACATTTACATATTGGTGATTATGCAAACTCTTATTAAACACTACAGCTTACAGATAAAATTCTCAAAGACTAAGAAAACATGGATGTAAAAATAGCACTTCAAGAAAGTAATGTAAGAGAAACACATTATTTCATAGAATAAAGTAAAAGGTACGTCATACTTATGCCAAATTTCCAACTACAGCTGTTAAGAAATATACATAATAGATCTCAGATTTCCATTTCTGCAAATGTTAATTTCACTACTTCTCACTATTTTCTCTTTTGAAATCACATGCATACATAAGTTCCATTTTTAACCCTTCTGATTTGATTTAGTAGAACAACGAAATCCCAGAAAAATACCACTGACTTCATGTAGGCTCAAAAAAGTTGATTTTACATGCTTTTGTTGATGTCTGCTTTTAATTATCCTATTCAGTTACCTCTTGTTTAAACAGACACCTTTACAGTCTAGGTTATAAAATACTTAGGCAAAAGATACTGTGTCTCTTTCACTCTAAAAATTTAACTTTTAAATACTGATTTTGTTGGATTTTAACTTAAAAAATCCTGTTGCTACTGGAAACAAACTGCAGAACGTAAAAGGTATCACTGTTTGGGCAACTACATAAAAGCATTAACCAGCCTACCACCTGCCCCTGCTTTGCTGCTTGTACCTGCAGTGTTTATTTAAAAAGGAAAAAAAAAAATTTAAACAAAATATTGCACATAACTCACTCTAAAATCAGTATTAAATAGAATCCATAACAAAAAGCTATGAGCCATGTACTTAAATCTCTGTTCACACACCAGTGGTTTTGTTTCTGCTGCTGTATCATACATGAGCCAGATGAGCTACATTTAGACATGCAAAAATCTTACTTAGAAAAATAAATTTCTAGGATGACAACGAAATTCATAAACAAACCACTGGCCACATCTCAAACACAAAAGATAAAGATAAGACTTCAATACCATGATATATGACAATGTTGTACTTATCTGTACTACTTAAACCTTCTACAATTAAGACATAATTCTTGAAATTAATATGGGAACAGTTCTCTAGTCATAGATTTAGAAAGAAGAAAGAGTTTACCCGCATCATTTCATTCTCTAGTTGTTTTTTCCGATGTAAACGCTGCTGATGTGACTTGAGTATATTTTCCACGTGCTGCTCCATGAAGAATTTAAAGGCCTGAGGGGAATAGCTTTGAATGCGAGACTCTCTTCTTTCTTCATCTTTCTTGTTTTTTCTAACAGGAACAGGTGATGTTGTAATCTGTTTCTTTTCTTTATCTGCTGAATCAACACATTCATAATTCTTTTCAATCTCATCCTCCTTGGATAAAATAGGAGGTTCTTCCTTGTTGAGCTTGGCTCCTGTCTCATATAGATTTACTGAGGGATTCTGGTGTAACAAGTGTTTTGGATAAGGTGGTGGGGGACCCTGGTAATTTGGAGCCTCTGCAACAGGAGACATAACTGTCACATTTGCAGACGGACTCTCAGAGAAGGGAATGGTTTGAATGGTTTGCACTGGTTGTGGCATCCAGGAAGGGTGAGTGGGCGCTAAGGCAGTCTGTAGCTCTGGTTTTAACACACGCATGCTCTTCACTGGTTGCTGAATGGGAGCTGGTGTTATAGCTGTTACTGTTGTAGCTGAAGGCTGAGAGCTGCTGGAGTGACTCTGCCTGTTTCCATGATGGTTGTTGAAAGAATTTGACCGCACAGGAACACTGGGTTGCCATGTAGGCACCTCATGCCCATTGCCAGGTGATGACTGTGGTTGCACAGGGGAAGGCTGTGACCAGGATGCAGGTATTCCAGCCACACTTGTATTGTAAAGTTCCATGTTGTGACTATTCCTATTTGGCACCATCATTGCCTGAGGAAGATTCCCATTGGCATATGCTGAAGGAGGAACAGCTCCTCCTGCCTGCATCTGTAGTGCTGTGGGACTTTGCCTGTTAGTTGGATTTATGGGGTATGGAGGTGGCTGGCGACTCACTGAGTTGCTAGACACCATATTCTGGTGAACTATGAATTCTGCCTGACAATTGCCATTTGGCATTCCAGCTCTTCCTGAAGGAAAACTAAATTTGCTGTTGGCAGAACTCTGCATGATTATTGGTTGCCTGCCAATGGGAACAGCACTCATGCCTCTCTGACCCTGTGTGGAAGAATTTATGGGTGGAGGATTCATAGGTGGAGGTGGATAACCATCCTGCCATGCTCCAGGTGGCACTGGAGAAATACGGGAGATCACGTATTCCATGTTTCCAGAGTAACGCTTTGTCTGAGAGTTTGATTCCCAGGAAGGAGGTGGAGGAGTAGTTCCCCTTGGAGGGGGTGTCTGTCCTCGAGGAGGTGGAGGAGGAGGAGTGACACTCCTTATCTGTGGTAGAGGCGGGGGATTCACTCTTTGTCCGTTGCCAGGATGAGCCTGAGCAAATGCTGCAATGCCAGATCCAGATAATGGCCTTCCCACTTCAGGCTGAGAGCTGGGACTTTCTGAGCGATAAACTACACCATCTCCCAGGGAAGGGCCATGCCTCTGAGGAACCAAGGACTCCTTAGAACCCTTCCAGCTCTGCTTGCGGTTAACTGACTGCTGTACAGTCCCTGCTTTTACAAGAAGAAAACACAGCATTTAAATTATTTGTTGTATTTACTTATTCTTCCATTTCTTATTCTTCTGCATCAATTACTACAGAAATAGGAACAGAATTCTCCAACACAGCATAGCACTGTACTTCACATGAAAAACTTTTTGCTTCAATTACAGATGCCCTCAATTTTTAATTGAAAAAATGGTAGCACTCAGAATTATTATGTATACTACGAATTTTTCATCAAGCATACAAGCAACTCTCAGAAAAGATGTTCTGCACAAATGCAATCCAGCAATAGAATGGAAAAGCACACTTAGTCAAGTTGCTATTCCTTCCAGTTTAACATTTGCAATAAATGAAATGTTCCTGAACTAAAATTTAACCAAATGCTGTAAAAACAAACAGGTCCACTTACAACTTGGTATGCATACAGTTAATCCAAATGGTTATATTCCTTGCATGCAAAATTTGATTAGGCACTTCAATTTTAAAAGTTATGTCTTTATGGGTAAAAGTGCTGTATAAAAGCAAGAATTAAAACTGTGTGAAAGTAATACTTAAGCATCAAATGCTACAATATATTTACAGATGTTATTTTAAATAATGGAAACAAAATAGTATGCAATTGATGTGTAGTGTGTGCAGTCTTCCTGTGGCTTTTATGATGCTGCAATACTTCTAAACACACAGTACTGTAGCTGCTGAAAGTCACTGTATCTTCAGTAAAATAATGTGTTAATTATTACACCTTTGCAAGTAACAACAAAAAAATTGTGGCTTAGCTTTGGCATTTAGCTAACCCTGGTTCACAGACTACATGAAAATAATGCTCTCCTTTGCTACTTTTCACTACTAATTTTTCCTCATTCCTACGTGGTCAATTTAAAGTGTAACTTTACAGAGCTAGTAGCTCAGCACTCAACTTCAGTCAAACAGTATTTCTGTTGCATTTAAAAGTTACCATTTATGTGTATGCTAAAAACCTGATTAAAAAAGAAAATCATCAATATGTATTAAAAATATGCTTGCATGTGTTAGGAAAGCAGTAATAGCAAGTAGCAAAAGTCTGACTCTGTTGGTACTAACGTTATAGTCTGCTCTCTAATTTCCACAAAACCCACAAAATCTGCCTTAAAAACTATACAAACAAAATCTCCTATCAAGCAGAAAATTAAGCAGAGATGGAATTCTAAACAAGACATCCTAAAATACAAATGTTGTAGCCATAAAAATATCTATACACACACAAATAATATATATACGCAAAAGTAAACATATGTAGTGCTTCTGTCTGGGAAAAGAGAAACAAAAACTGTAAAGAATTCAGTGCTCACCACTGACTTCTCAATGGCACCTGACACTGAGAACAAATTATGGGCATCATGATGGGAATGAGGACAAAAATTACACAAATAAGGTATGAATGCCACTCCTTGTATAAAATACTGACAATACAATACTAACTATAAATAGTTGGAACAGATATAAAGTAGTATAAATAGTATAAAATACTAACTATACAATACTAAAATCACACAGTTATAAAAAGGAACAAATAAGAAATCTACGTCAAATACACCTTTCCGAAGAATTACATTATATACTTTACATGCTATTTTTAAAAGCAAACAACTGTATATCAACATTTACTCTGTTCCACTGTGAGCACAGGAAGGAGGAATTTACTACTTTATATTTTTCACCTATAAGAATATACCCAGTTAGTTACTGAGTTACCATGGATACACCTACCTGGTGGTTTTATACTTGCATTTACAGGTCTTGCAGCTGCTGCAACCATCTGTTCCCGCCGAGGATCCTGGTAGCTCATTTTACTTATAAATTCAATGGCAGCTTCTATACTACGGCTGTTAGTTTGTCTGAGAGCTTGTATAACCATATCCTAAAGATAAATTATATAAAAATATTACAAGAAAATGGCAAAAATACAAAAAAAATCATGGTTATTTAGCCAAATATCCTCCAGTAATTTTACCAAAGTACATAACTGATTTCTATCAATCAATATAAAACTAATTTTAAAATGCTTTTTCGGACAATAGATCCTCCAAAACACTGCTGCAGTCTGGATCTTCAGGAAAAAAAGTTAAACTGTTGAAGCACTATTTTTATGTAAATCATGTTATTCCAACAGTTTGCTTATATGCACTCTGTTACACACTACCCAGGTAACAGCTACTTGCACAATGACCAGGGCCTTTCCAATCAAAGTTATTCCTCGGAAGATACCTTAATGTGAAACCCATAACTCTGTTTCCTTCAACTCAGCATAACTTTTTGTAAACAAATACCCATTACTTCTCCTTAAGTATTCTTCCTGAAGAAAACAATACTATTGGCAGAAATCCCATTATTTTTGTGGTAGATTTAGGCTCTGTGTTCTTGGAGATCCAACCACAAGTTTTGATTTGATGGCCAATCCCAGCTCTGTCAATGCAAAATGTATTACAGACCAGTGGTTTTTCTACTGACTTGAATGAGATCAAGGTCAAGCAACAGTAAATATGCTCTCCCAGTCCTATTGCATGGGATTTGTGCAGCTGACTCAACAAGTCTGAAACAAATCCTCATCATAACTCCTTGTAATTAAGGACACTGTTTTTAGTAATTTGTTATGGCCATACTTAGTCATATCAAAGCAATCATTTTGGTTCACATGATATTTGAGCAGGTTACCTATATACAACAGCATTTGCCTCCTACCAAAACCAATGGAATATCAAAGAGGGCTCCAAAGGGAAGCAGTCAGTATCAATTTCAAATTCAAACCCACACTTACACTTTCCCCACACCTGTGTACATTTTTAATACTACAAACAAAATTATGTAGAGCCCTCAAAAACAAGAACTAAATTCTATGAACCAAGCAGAATCTTAAAAGGGACTTTTTAAGTTTAAAAAGATACATATATTAAGGTTGTTGCAATGTTTATCAAGCAGCTGGAATTGCTGGAAAAAGCAGATACACTTTTACTATTACAGGCAACCATTGCCAAAGTACATTTTCAGAACCAGTATGCTATGTGATCACTGTGCAAACAGAAGCTTAAGGTGTCCAGAGTATTTAAATTACAACTTCAATATACTTTTATAGGACCCATCATTCACTTCTGCCTACTGACTTTAATTTTCTTCTCAATCATTTTCAACCCCAAATTTACTGCCTTTTTAGCCAAGTAATTCTATAACAGATAAACCTAAACCTGTAAATTTACATAATCAACTCATAAAGACACACAAAATCTCTAAGTACAGAACCAGAAAATATTTTAAGAGATTAAATTTAGTTCCCTCTCCACTAACCAGAAGACCTGAGTAAGAGCCAAAGGATCTCTCTCCCTTCTCACTGAAGAACAATAACCTTAGTCACCTATGTGGCAAAGAGTATTCAATGTCTTGAACAGTATCACCTTACACTGAACACACAGGACTGCACCTGAATCCTAATAAGCATGAGATACCTCCTGTAAGCTATTTAGGGTGGTTCTTTGAAGAAAAAAAACCCCAACAACATAATGATCTGTATTCTCCCATTATTACTACACATACAGATATATTACTTTCTACATACACGCACTATATAGATACACCTCATACTGTGGTATCCACCTGTTCAGCTTTACCCCTAAATACTACCTGCTACTATTTGAGGGTTGAGGGGAATAACCAGAAGGTTTGTGATGTTCAATATACTAAAAGTAAAAAACCAGCTATTTACAGCTGGCCAACACACCCCACTCATGGTCAAGTCCATAAAACAATCACAGTTCAAAATCCATTCTCATTTC